TATATCCACACTGTTTTGCAACCAACCCCAGAATTCTTTCATCTTGCAAAACTGAAACTCTTTACCCATTAAACAATTCTTCATTTCCCCCTCCCCTCAGCTCCTGGCAACCACCATTCTACTTTCTGTTTCTAAAAATTTTGACTACTCTAGATACCTCATATAAGTGGAATCATATAGTGTTTGTCTTTTTTTGACTGGCTTATTTTATTTAGCATAATGTCCTTAAGGTTCATCCATGTTGTAGCATGTATCAGAATTTCCCTCCTTTTTAAGGCTGGATAATTAAAGTTTTTTTATTATTTTTGTAAATTTCATTATGGCTCCCTTGTTCTTTTGTCCTTATGAGTTTACAGTTTTATTTTCCCCATTCATTTAGCTACTGTTTTAGTGGAATTTCAGGAAGCAGAGATCAACTTGTGAGTCCAACCTAGTCCTTAATAGGAAACCCATATTCCATTTATGAAATGTACCATTGAAGGATATATTCTCTGTTGCTTTTGAGGATTTCTTTAACTTTCAAGACCCATTAAGGGAGAACAGAATAATGAAGCTATGTTTAGTTTTAATTTAGCCAACCAAAAATTATACTTTGATGTAAAGCAAAAAAGTTACTTCAAGCAGCTGTTTTTCTGTATGAGTAAAACTCTTCTTTGGGGAATCCAGTCCAGTGGATCTCAATATGTGGTCCCTAGACCTGCACCATAAGCATCACCTGGGAGTCTGAAAGAAACACAAATTTCCAGGCCCCACCTCAGACCTCCTGAATCTATAAATCAGGGGGTGGAGCCAGCAACTGAGTTTAAACAAGCTAGGCAAGCACTTCTGAGGCTTGCTAAAGTTTGAGAATGGGTCTTCCAGAGGCAATCTTTTGCAAAGCGGTATCTAAAGATTAAACTTTCTATTTAGTCTTAGTCCAACTGTTCACAAGATTTTTCAGGTTATGAGGTGACCATCTTTTTTTAGCAGAAAAGTTGTGAGGGGCATATACCACCTGCAGTGCCCATGTTTTGTTCTTTTTCTCTCTGCTGAAGAGGCTGGCCTCATCACATATTTATACTACCTGGCCACATCTTTATCCTGCATCCCACTGGCCACACTGACCTAACCAGGAGAGAACTTCTCACTCAAGGCCAGCCAACCCACTGGATGGTCAAGACCAACTAACTGGATTCTCTCCCTTGAGAATATGAAGTAGAGACCCAAAACCACAGTTAATGCTGAATTACTAAAGTATATAAAACTGACAGTGATGGCCACAGTGGGGCCTATGCAAGCACAGCCCCTGTGTCCTTTCAATTTGTCTATTTTTTTCCCTTGAGTGGGTATATATTTCTTGTAACAGAGACACTTGATCAGGATATGTCTTAAATATTGATAATAAATGCTGTATGATTGATTGGTCATAGCTATTATCCATTGTAAAGCTTGCCCAATCTATTGACATGTCCATGCTATTGTCCTGTTTTGGCAGCTGTATGTAAACAAATTGATGTCTCTGTCCAATATTTTTAATTTCTCATGTGTGAAAACAAATTTGGTAGCACTCTCATTTTATTTCAATGCTGAGCTCTTGGAGTTCTTTTGCAATTGCTTCTGATTCTCTGAGAAACTAGTGCAAATTGCTTTGTAAATCAACAACCAAAGAATCAATATCAGTGATGTTCTTTTAAAGAATTCAAAGATAAATAGTCCCCATAAGCTACTGTCACTGTATTCCAAGGTTCAAAAGGAAATATTCTGAAAATGAAAGCAAAGGAAATCACACAACATTATCAAAACAGTTATGTGGTAGTGAATAAAAGCCAGAATATGATTTGAACAGTGAACATTTGTTCTGAGAACAATATTAACATAATAGGAATATCATGACCAACCTTTACTTTTTCAGGTCATGGTTGCTGATTTAAGAATTGATGCAAACAAATATTGTTATAAGACAGTTGTTTGCAAAGATATTTTAAATCCAACATGTCTTCTTTTAATATTATACTATTGTATAACAGTATGAGAGACGGCATCTAACCAATTATGCATCTCATGCTTGACTCACTTCTACACCCCTAAAGACAGCCACATGACCCTGGCAGTAAATTCACAAAAAGGACTAAATGTATTTTGAGACACAAAGTAGAATATTACTTTGAAATATGGCTCTTGTAAATGTTTGGAAAAAGAGTGCTTTTCCTCCTGACATTTCCAGCGGAAAGGGTGTTAAACATTGTGACAGACATTGGTTATTGTTACCAGAATTGGTTCCCCTTAATCTCCAAATGTTTACTTGGCACATGACTACTCAAAATAAAGATTACATTCTCAAGTTTTCCTTATAGCCATGTGTTTCAGTTGCTATTGCTGTGTAACAAATTACCCCAAAACTTGAAGGCTTAAAACAACCGTTTTATCATGCTCACAGATTCTGTGGGTCAGGATTTCAGACAGAGAATGACAGGACTGGCAGTTTCTGTCATGCTGGAATAACTTCTATCAAAGCAGTCACAAGCCCATCCAGATTCAGAGGAGGGGAACTGACACTTCAACTCTTGGTAGGGGAGTGGTACAGTCACACTGTAGAAGAGCACATGAACAGAAGACATTTTTGCAGCCACCTTTGGAAAATGCAATTTGTCACACCATAGATGTGGCCATCTTGACTAAGTTCTGGCCAAGAGGATATAAGAGTACTTATTAGGTGTGTTAACACCCTGGAAGTGTCCTTAGAGATGGTGTGTGTATGTGGGGGGGGGAGCAAGTTCCCTTCTCTTTCCCAGTTTCCTCTTGGCTGAAATAAAGATGGAGCAGTAATTTGGGGCCACAAACTGAGGATTACAGAGTAGGGGGCTGGAAAGAGCTAGGGTGCCTGATGATTATGGAACCACTGTAACAGCCCAGAACTGCTTATATTTTACATTATAGAGAAATAAGCTTCTATCTTGTTTAAGTTACTGTATTTTGCATTTTCTGTCACATGCAAACAATGCTAAACTTAATAAAAACATCATGAACAAACACAGATGATGCAAATTTGTCTAGACTTACAAAGATAATAATGCTTATATGGTTAGAGTTTGACTAATATTGTGGACCATGCAGTGAGATCATATTTAATAAAAGCTTGCCTCTTAAAATGCTTGAAACTTGGAAGTACATTACTATATTTAAAAACATTATTGTGAGGTTGAAAAGGAATGAAAATAGAGAAAACATTCACTCACGGAGTGAATTCAGGTTGAATTACTAAAAAAGGTTAATATCAAGATATATTTTTATAAAAGGGAGTATTTTGTTACATCTCAGTTTCTAGTCTCTAAATTTCCTGAGTTGTGTATTTACTCTTTTTTGGGGGGTAGAAAGATAACTCAGAACAACTAAGTGAGTTTGCTCTTGAAATATTTTATTTACAATAATATGGTAATCATTGCAGAAAATGAACTATGTTCTTTTAAATAGCATTTAATTGGCAAAAGATAATTTTATAATTCAAAATTGTAAACATGCAGAACTAGCCTCATTTCAAAGTCAAGATTTCTACTTTGAAAGTACACATCTCTAATTCTACTTCTCTTTATATTGAAGCATTCTTATTTTTGGAGATATCATTCAAAATCAGTCAAGGCCTAAGGGAAAGTTTTAAAATAAACACTAAGAGTCTAATCAAGCAATGTTTTTCTTGCTTTGGGGCGATCTGTCCTAACAATGACATTTTATTCCAGTTCCTGCACTATCCTATTTGAAGGGTATCGACTAACTTTGATAGGTGCTTCACAATAAATGGCGCATTTGTTTCAATAAATAGTAGTAAATGCATAGGGTGGAAAATGGAATAGTATCATGAAAGCAAAACATAATAAACAGGATGGATTTAAAAAGGCTGGATAAAATGTGGTGAAAGAAAAAGGAAGGTGTCACAAAGATGGGGGATATAATTCGTCTAAAACAGAACCAGTATCACTCTATGACTTTAAACAAAAGACATTAGCAACACTTATCAATGCAACTAGATTCTCGGAAAAAAATAAAATGCCGCTACCGAGGTGGAGAGTGAAGTTTCAGGGCAAACCGCGCAGAACCAGCTCTGCGTGGGTTCCCGGTGGTGAGTGACTGGTGGGAATTCGCCCATGTGGCCCGCCGGTTCCCGGGCGTGGGGCAGGCGGACTGCGAGGCGAGGCTGGTGGGGGAGGAGGGGTAGCACTGGGTGGGGGGCCCCA